CAAATATGACAACAAAAAACGTACTTTTTGTAGAAAGTAAATTTGCTCCAGACGAAAACGACCCATGTCCGTCCGTTGAGGGTTAAGTAACGATTTTAAATCATTTTAATCATTTCTGTTTTTATAAAATACGTAACAACTGTTCTTACTTTGTGTCATTTGATTTTTATCTCTCACGTGTCAATTGCATATTAATTCGCAAATTGTCTCAACGTTTGCCTCTGCGCGATTTGCTCCTTTTTACATCGCGTACAACATATCTCGTAGCAATTTTGCGAGTGCTCCGTGACGCAAGTCGGAAAAGACAACACAAAGGCGAAGAGAGTGCGCACAAAAACAGAAGTGTCGGCAAACAACGAGAGTGCGAATGGAAGAAGTTCGCTAAATATCTCGCAGAACAAACGCGGGTGGGTGCGCAACCGTTTGCATTGAGCGCAAAAATTGAGCGTGGCGCTAAACGGAATAGAAAACATATCTCCTCCTCGTACAGGTCACAAAGCGGACTTTTATAGTGCGCGGCTCTTTCATTATCTCGAAGCTGATTATCAAAACTTTTGTAAACACAACTTTTCAGTTTGTTCTTGACGCACCAAATGCGCATATAATGACATTGTGCGCGATCTGGAAATAACAAAGGAGACCTCGTAACGTAATTTACGGACGAGTCAAAGTTTCTTTTTGTTTCTTGATTTTATTTTTTGTTGCGAACATTTAACAAAGTGCAAAAACAAAAATGTACGCAACTCAATAAAATTGTTCTCGAACGAATCATAATCTGAATAGCGTCGCGTATACGCTTTGCGCACGTGCAGTTAACTTCTCTATCAGACTATTGTGATTATCGATGTGATGTAAAGTCTAGACAGTTCAATAGCATGATCAGCAAAAAAAAGGAACGTACTAATAACATAAGTGAGTTTGCGGTATGGCTTCTTTTACGAAGCTGATACGATGCAGATTATCGAACGTGCATCGATAATAATGTCGATCACGAAACAGGTGGACTGGCCACAACTCAGTTTTTGATTTGCTTTTCTGGCACTATGACAATAATGTTACGGCCAAGGAAGAGAGAGGAAAAAAAAGAGAAAAAAAGAAAAAGAGAGACAGAGAGAGAGAAAGAGACACAGAGAGAGAAAGAGACACAGAGAGAGAAAGAGACACAGAGAGAGAAAGAGAGAGAGAGAGAGANAGAGAGAGAGAGAGAGAGAGAGAGAGAGAGAGAGAGAGAGAGAGAGAAACAGAGAAACAGAGCGCATTATCGAATCAAATTTGCAGCCGCTAATTATGGTACGATATAATCCGTTAATGAAGCTATACGTTAACTCGACGTAAAACGGACCACCGAGGCATTATTTATATCAAGCTCTGACAAATCCCCCGTCGAAAGCGCTTAACATTTGAGTACTTTCCAGCATTGTTCGAAAATTTATATCCACTTGGTTGACACGTGACATTATCATTTTGTACATTATTTACGACGGTATAATTTTGAAATCATACAATTTTAAAGCGTATCCTGTACGATATATACCTAGCTTTTTTTTTATTTCGCTCGCGCGAACACTTCGGGTTTAATCGGAAAGTTTAGGACACAGTACTGACATATGTAGCGAAAAAAAGAAAATTCCGAATATTGTAAAACGGACGATTGTGCTAAGTCACGTGAATAAACAAAAACAGAAATAAAATATTAAAGCGGTGTCACACACACACACACACACACACACAATCACCAGATTAAGTGAAACACATTCGGTTAAATTCGTAGCAGATTAGGTTAACTCGCATTTTCTCGCACGCTGTGTACAATGTTATTAACAATGTATCGTATTATGCGAGCGCGCACCCTCTCTCTAACTCGGAAACTAACCGTTCCAGTTTGTGGGTAAAATTTATGTTTATTTTAAATAGAACATCCCGCGTATACACGGTATAAGCTTCATAATTAACACGGTCTTCACCGAATGTGAACAGCTAACTTTACACACGAAACATTTTCATTCCGCTTTATATCCACACAATTGTTGCAGTTAAGTGTACACAAATATTTTCTCCTCCCGGAAACGGCGATCCGAAAGTTTCTTTCGGCAAAAATTCGCTCGATGCGTTTGTTTGCGCGCCGCGCAAACGTACGTATGCACGTTGTTGCAACGTAAACGAAATTGAGAAAGTGTTTGTAATTTGCACACATCTAAAAAAAAAAAAAAATAGCGTTTCCCGATATATTCCCGACGAGAAGTGACGAGCTAATTAATGACACGGGAGGAACAACGATATAAATTTTGTCACATCGAAACAGTTTGTCATTGTCGTCATTTTTCTAATTACTACCGCGTTAAAAAGTATCATTACTTTTTTGTTACGTAAAACGTACCCCCCTCTGCGGTGTATGGTCGGTCGTTATCGTAAGACAACATCGTTATCTCTTGTATAAGAGACTTTAGTCAAGACAAGTTTATAGTTGTTTTTTATATTCAATAAATCACACACGTACACACACACACACACACACACACATCTTGCGCTTTTGCTCGCGTCTGTCCCAATACTTCCGAGTCAAGGTAACATTGGTTTACCTAGTTTACAGTTTCGAAACTTTGCAGCTGCACAGTCGACTTAAGGTGTAACGATGCGAGGTTATCGGATATATATACTTCTCTGACAAACGATTCCTATTCTCCGACCGTCGTCGTTCTTCTCGTTCGAGACGCGACGACGACGACGACGTGTCGCGAAGACGAAATGATGGGGAGGCAAAAGGCCGCGCCGACCATTCATATCGTGTTTATGGAATCCGTGTCAATCGCGCGCAATTCGGACGATCCGGCGGATCTAATCGCGACGGGGCGGGGGGGGGGAGGGGGGAAGAACTCGCGCAATGTGCCCGTGAGTCATTCCGCGCATTCGCCTCGTCATTCTGTAACATCACGGCACCACGTGCTTCGCGAGGATCTCCTCCGTTGTTATCATCCGTCCGTTGTGTGTGCATCCTGCTCACGTGTGATCTATTACAGTACAACCGGAGGGAGAGGAGGGAGAGAAGACGGGAGCGGGTTCTCTCGTTCGGACGCGGGAGAATTGATTCCACCTTCGCCGAAATCAATGTCAAGGGTATCGTTAGATTCCGACAGATTGATCGTGTCAATGAACGCACACGTACGGTGGTTGAATGAGCATAGACGTGTATATATATATATATATAATATCTTTAACTCGAGTTATTTTTGTATCGTATCAACAAGCACCTACGCTACATCTCGAGACGTACGTGAGATGACTTGCAAAATTTGATGAACAAAATGTACGATATATATATATCACGAAATTTTTCACAGGCACGAATTGACGTCGACTTGTAATAAATAAATAAATACGCTGAACGCGTCACAAATACAACTTTGCAATTAAGAGATAAGTAAGAAATATATTAATAGAAATTAATGGGACTGATGTATAGATATTACCGATATACAAATACGAGTTGTGCGCAACTATAACTAATTATAGATAAGCGCGTGTACACACAGAAGCACTCGTTTTCTCATCACTGAAGCGTCAACGCGCATGACAATCAGTTTTTTAATGATTTCCATTGGTCGCAACTTGGACGAACGTGTGCTATGTTGCTCAATTGAATTCAATAAACATCGATTAATCTCCTCTGGCATGTTGCTTTGTCATGTTGTCACTACACACGCGGCGCGCGCGCGCACGCATGCACGCACGCGAACAATTCAATACGCATTAATGACTCAAGATCTGTCATCCGTTGAATTAATAAATTGCTATCTACAAACTATGCGTAATCATAGAACGAATAGACGAGTTTAATCAGATTTTACTCGCTTCGAAGACACGACAGTCCTTTTTATTTCTTTTCGAGAAATATTGTGCAACGTACAATTTCTCGGAAAAAGTAGCATGAATCGACACTTTTGACGACAAATGTGAAAAGTAAGCGCGCGCGACAATTAAGCGCGATAATAATTTATGTAATTAAGACAAGGCGAGTTGGGAAAACCGAAATCAGATCGCGAAAACGTAATCCGCAAATATACTTACCTCATTAGATAATTATACGTGATAAAGGAGTTTTTTTTGTACAAGTTTGAAAAAAACATTCGAGAGTTCAATTATTTGATATTCACGTTACCTGTGTAGTATATCTCTAATATAAAAGCAGAATCGAAATATATAATCTCTCGGAGATAAAAAATCTAATTTGCTATTTGTGTCATTGCGTGCAACTTAGCGGGTTTGTGAAAAAGAAAGAACTAGCTAACTAGCTAATTTGTTCTTTCGTGCCAAGCATAAAGGAACAAATCGAGAAAAATGACACAACTGCCATTATCTACAATATTAATATTCTAACGTAGCGCGAAAAATAAGGTAGATTTTATCTTTCTCGTTTCTCTTCGATATTTACTATTCACAAACATATTTATTATCTCGCGTTTTCGATCGAAATTGAACAGAATATCGTCGTCTATATCCGAGTGAATTTGCTCGAGGAAAGAATGAAAAAAAAAATTGCGAGAGGCAACTTGTGCGTTTGAATCTCATTAAAACTTACATACGCGCACAGGTAGTATCTACATATGTACGTACGTACGTACACTTAACCCCCACGTATATCTCAGACGAGGAGAATTGCGCGTCGTTGGCGCAACATGCACGCGCGTGCACGCGTATTGTAACGAGAGCGAGATATACTCTTCTCTTCGAGAAATGTGACGAGCGCGCAAAACCGTCGGAAGGAAATCTCGATGCGTCATTAGGAAATTTATATCCGTGACGTCATCGAGATCATAAAACGTTCGATCGATCGCACTGAATCAATCAATCGCTCATGCAGAAAACAAGAGCGGAAGCAGAATACGATCCCCCCGGAGGGAGGGGGGCGCTTACACGCATGGAGGGAAAAGATTTTCAGCGAGAGAGCGAGGAGGGGGAAGGCTCTCTTAGGCGCGTTTATACATATATATACGTGCGAGTTTGTGCTCGGGCTTTCGCAAGAGTCCGCGAGTCGTACGTACGATCGGACGTATAAGGTTTGTGTGGTGAACGTTCGTCGTCGCGGCTTCGTCTCACGCGGGAGAGAACCAACAATAATCCTCAAGGAAAATCGGTACCGGTGCGTGCCGATACTTCGTCCACGTAACCAGCGTTTCTACCGGTGAGCTCGATTTGCTACGCAAAGCACGAGAAGGTCGCGCGGTTTGACACTTATACACAATATATAGATTTTAAATATTCGCGCACGCTCCAATTAAAACCGCACAGTTTTTTTTTTTTTTTTGTCAGAGAAATATTAACCCGTAACTTATTTTGTCACACAAAAAGTTGATGGTGTAAATTTATTTTCGCCTATATAGGAGCGCCGAGGGATTATCTTGTCCCACACAGATTCCCGGAATCGTTTAACGAAGAGAAACTTCGCACGAAGAAAACTAGGAAAATTGTGTGAAGTTCAAAGAACGTTGAAAATCGCGTAGATGTTGAAATTCACGTAGCGTCGGATTTCCGGAGGATCGAAGTCGAAATCATCTCGTTCGGTGACCGCATTCATCAGCAAGCTGGATTTCCCGCACGACGCCGAGTTCGCGGTCGAAGGTGTTTGCTCGCCAGGATGATGTACATATAGTCCTGGTGTACCGTGGTTCCAGATGCAACGAGATCGAGAAATTCTTCGTTATACGTAACAATTTTGTTTCTTCGTGCGATTGAACCGAGCGATCGATAACGACGCGCGCGCACACACACACAGTGGTACGTTTCTTTATTTTATATCTCGCGTATATCAGATACTGAGAGACCTTTGTGTGGTCAACAAACCACAGATATGAAAAAAATATTAAAACACACTTCATAAGACGAAGAGATTTCTTCAAATAAAAAGATATTTTTCTTCTTATATCGTGAAGTATCGCGCTTCTACCTAATTTTTTTTTTTTTTTTCTAATTGTTTTATACGCGTACACCTGTTTACTCCGTGCTTATTCTGAGAACAAAAATCAATTTCAAAGAATGTGTATCTCATATGATAGTAAAGTCATAATCATATATAGCGTCAACTGAGATAACATTATTGCTTTATGACATTTAATCCAGAACATTAATATCTAGGAGAGAGAACAAAGATTAGAGATTGTGTTTTGTAATTTCGATGTTTCAAGGATTTATAAATTCTAGTTGGCAAAAAGTTTCTCCGTCAAGACATTACAACGCTGATTGAAATTAGTGACACTTTTAATTCAATCTTTTCGCGAATCTGTCGCTTCTGAAAATCAACAAACAGACAATCGAGTCACTGTCGTTCAAAGTCACTTAAGGATTTTTTCTGTCAACGTGAAAAAAATAAAAAAAAAATAAAAAAATGTTTTGACGCAGATTTCCTCTCAATTTCTGATTACGAGCGCGCGCACATTTTTCGTCGACCTTTAATAAAAAGCTTCTCGTTACAGACGATCTCGGTTGAAAGTCGGTTGTTGTAACGCGCCAGAGATTGGACGTCTCTGTATATCACGACGCTAGATTTTAACTGTCGCGGCTGAGCGAAATTTGACAGGTGAGTGAGCGCTGCGGCGCAAACTTTTATCGATAAATCAAGAGCGGGGGGGGGGGGATAAAATACCGACACACAATCGCTTAAATCGGCTGAAATAACGTCGCGATGGACAATGAACCACGCGCCGGAGAGACAACGAATCGCATACACGATATATATTACCCACCCACGTCTAATCTGCAACGTCATCCTAATGTCATCAAGGGAAATGTCCGTTTTCCTTAATCCAACATACAATTGCAAAATGAGCATCAATTTCTCCTATTGCGCCATTCCTCACGATGCTCGCGCGAAATTTCTCTTGCGCATTTTCACGCACCCGTTTCAATCGCGAAGAAAACGCTATAAAAGGAATACATCTGTCACGATAAAGTACCGTTAAACGATCTCTATACGGCGTTGAACGAGCGATGAGGATTTTGCGCCACGTGAATTTACGACAAAGCGATCCGTCATTTTCGCCGATCGTGCAATGATTTAATTTCCGTGAAACTGGCCGTGAAATCAAAATCGATCGGGGCGGGAGGGAGAAAGCCCGTCACTCGGCATTGCGCGATCGGCAACCGCGCGCGTCCGAAACCGAGGAAAACGAGGGCGTTGAATGCGGCTGCAAATAGGCCGTAAGTCACTGGCACAAAATACAATTTTGCACACGCGCAATAAAACGTAACGTAACGTAAGTTATCGCCACATTTTTTTTTTGTTTTGTTTTTTTTTTGTTTTTTTTTTCGTAAGATGTTTCTCGTACCATCTACATTCAATTTTTCTTGGCTCGCGATTTATTCGCTCGCTGCGATTAATTGCGGTAACGTGATTACACTGAATGTAACATGATTACACCGAATTAAGCAATTCAACGAAGATTCTTTCGATTATTCCGACAATTTCTCGTCGTGAGATAATAAGTTAATTAAAATCAAATCTATTTTAATTATAACAGTCTTTGATGTGATTAAGAAAAGTTTATCGTTAATTCCTTAGATATACAAGATAACATCCGTTAGATATCGCGTCCACTAAATAATGTTTTTTAATTAATAAAAATTAATTCTCCACAGTTAACAGTTAAGTAAAAAACAAAAATTTCCATTGTTCTTTTTTTTGCAGAATATCTCACGTATCTGTGTGATGCAAAAAATCATACATGATGAAAGTACCTTAAAATCAAAATTTATGTATATACAGTGTTACAAATATATCACGATAAAATGATATATATAAATTTATTAAAACCTGTTATAAGGGGTGGACATGTGTAAAATATTCAATTATAAATTGAACGCAATATTTAGAACAATGAATATATCGGTGCGCATATAAACGTCAGCTTTTAGTTAAAAACCCACAAGCAAATAGTGTGTGTATTTATGTAAAAAAATTCTCATATAAAAATTTCCGATCGTTCTCTTACAAATCAGGTTTCACAATTTTTTTTTTTTATTTTTATTTTAATCCAACGAACGCTTCCTATCGTTTGTATCTCGACCAAAATATAATCGCGTCGTGCATTACTCAGCGAGACTTGTCGCGATATAAATTGAAGAAAAGAAGGAAATCAACTGTATTATCGCTAAATCATCACGAGTGTATCGCACGTGAACGTTGTCACACGTCATTTAATCATGTCAATCAATTACGACCGGTGTTATCGCGTGTAGCAGATGTAATAGTATGTACTCTTCTCTAACATTGAATCGACAACGTGAACGTTTCACCGCACTCTTCCTTTTTCTTTCTTCTCGATTAAACATAGTATTTCGCAAATAGATGCATTGCACGTTTCTAAAAAAAAAAAAAAAAAAAACTATACGCGAAGAGCAGATTGCAAATTTGAAGTTTTACGCAACTATTCGATAATAAATTTGTTTTTTTTTTTGTTTATATCAAGTGCATTTTCACCGGATGAATTTTGATACGATATTACGTGGTAGTCTTTCTCCGCGTAACTTGTTTATAAAAAAATAAAAAGTAATACGATATCAACGAGGCTATTCATATTATTTCATTGAAAACTACCGAAACATATGTGCGACACTCACAAACATCACTGAAAAATAAATAACGTCAATTCGGCAAAAAAGACCAATTATTGACATCATAGCAGCTCGGCAACGTCACCAAGGAAGGTACATAAATATTGGCCGGTCATGCCAGTCGATTAAATCCGCGATCGCGTCGATATTGATATAAAACTCAATAAATTGTGAATTATTCATGAAACGCGCTGAATCGGGAAAACCGGCTTACGCGCGCTTTTTAACTTCTTCGCGCTAGATGGAACCGCGCTTTATCGGTGCCACAGAATGGCGACAAAAAGCGCACACACAGCACACGCGTCGCTCGAATACAATGTTAACGGCGCAAGTTGCGGGGTTTTGTTGAAAATTCCGCAAAATCGCCTACAGCGCATCGCGCAAACAAACATCCCGCAATATTCCCGCGAACAAATAAAATTGTCGCAAGTTTCGCAAATCCCTGATAACGCGATGCCGCGACTCGA